CATGAAAGTGGGACAGTCATCGCGATTAAGCACCGGACTACTTGGGCAAGGAAGGAATCACACGAACTGGTGAAGCATGGAGTCTCCCTTCAGGTGCTTACCGTGGAAAAGTGTGATGGAAGAACGGCGCCTGCAGAATAGCTGCTGGGAATTCTGCAATATGATATAGTTAAGAGGTGTATTTCTGACAGTCGTCTAATCAGGACTTCTTGTAGCAATATAAAGTACACACTTATTGCATTGAAATTCGAGGAGTAGTAAGCGTTGACTACTGCAGCATTGAAGTTAAACTCAGTTCGATCGACGGGTTTGGTAAGGCGTTTGAAGCCATATTCAATATTCCATCGTGAAAGTTTTTCTATCATCTGACTGTACGATTCCGTTTCTTCCACGGAGAACTGAAAGCAGCACTGACAATTTTGTAGCTCAAATACAGCACAACTGTGTAGATGAACGAGACCTTCCATATTTTCCTTAACCAATCTGCCCAAAGTGGGCTCTAAAGTGGAGTAGGCGACAGTAATCACTCACGTCATCATAGTGTTTGTCCAGTTTTTTGCTGTCAAGAATGAACTCTGGATAAGCGATTTGAGTGAGCATTGCCTTTGCTTTTTCGAAGGCAGTCTGAAGCGGGATCGGATCACCAAGATATTTTAGTATTTTTGAACTCGATATTTACCTCTTTTGTTGTGTTGTCCATCCAGTCATTCTCGACAAGCATTTCGTGGAACGCTTGTTGCAAATCTTTCACCATGTCGAGCGTTACATTTTTTGATGCCTGGAACAGATTTATAGCCATGCGCCACATGAACTTATGACATTAGCCGCTTAGAGGACGAACCTGGTCGAACATCTTGCTCACGTAAATTGCTCCAGCTGCATACTGCATTCTGTGCATAGTGTAAGACGTACACTCCTTCCACCTGGGAGCTCTTTGCTTCTTTCCATACATCAAACGATGAAAATCCTTGAAGTTAACAACATGAGACAGAAATTGAAAAAGCTCATTTGTTTCGTTAATAGAGTAAGGAAAAGAAACTGGACACTCTTGAAATTGTGTGTAGCACAAATGCAGAAGGCAGTAAGGAAGTGTTATTGTAGGAAGCAAATTGGGGAATGGTTGTGATGACCATGACAACAAAGGTAACCCCTACGATATGCATCATGAGAAGTTCCCTTTTTCGCTTTCTTAGGAGGGGATAGTGGGCATGTTAACCCGCGTCAGGTCGGTAGCCACATTGTGCTCGACAGCTGCTGTTTAAGTGATGCGATCGCATTCGATGAACGAGCCCTCAAGGCCTTCCTTCTCTTCCTTATCTGTATAAGTGAGGTACAGAGTTTAGACTAATCCGCAGATTGATTTGACTCCCTTGCAGGTACCTTGGTCCTTACAGATACACCTATTCATTCACGGTGGCATAGAGTGCAACAGAATAAGCACATTTTCCTACACTGTATCATGCGCGGAGCCATCTCTTCTGCAGAGTCAGAGCTAAAGTATCGGTATGATATTTTTTTTCAACATTCTTTCCTCTGTGTGTCTATGTCGTTATTTATGTCAGTTCCCTTGCCTGTTGTATCACTTGTCCCCTTCTCTTTCTATCGTTCCGATTTTTATGTCTGCTATTGTTTGTCTCGCCAGCTGTATCTTCCTTGTTTGACTCAACCTCGCCATCATGTTTTCTTTCTGCTTTCATTTCAGTCTGGTCAATCTCCAATCTAATCTAGCTTGTTCATCCTGAACCCTTAGCGAATTCGTTTTGTGAGGTTGCCTTAATGCCTGTTCTGAAGAACTTTTTCGCATTGATTTCGTCTTTTAAATGCTATTTGCAATCTATTACTTTCGGAGGTTATGGTTAACAGAGTTCAACCGCGGGCACATTTTTTAGACACTTTGAGCTACAAATACGCCATAACATGTTGAACGCAACGCAGTCAGAGATCGTCTTCAGAACTTTCTTTTACCTGTGAGAAGAGCAGTGCACTGCCCACTCGTGATTACCTGCGGCATCCCTCGTTTTTGTGCATACTTCACAAGTTCGCTCTCGACTCCTTTCTGCTCAGCCAAATTTGTTCAGTGCCCGGTGGTTCAGTCGGTACTCACTAGAAAAGGTCACCATGCCGAAGTGGTCACTTTTAATAAGACCTAGCCGACCGCTTCCAGACACTGGTCCCAAATCTGCACTCGTAATTTGAAGAACGATTTCTGGGATTTGAGCTTCATATGAATGCAGGGAAACGGAGCGAAGCAAGCACGGCAGCCAATATGCGTGAATAACGGCGAAGCGCAGCCCCAATCAACCAGAGGCATTTCGCATTGGTGAAAGTCTTGTTTCACTGGGGTAAGACGAAGGTTCGGCCTCTTGGGGGGGGAGACATTCCTTTTGCATTTTGTGAGTTTGCCTCTCCGCAAGTCACAAAACACTTTTGAGCGTTAATATGACCGCACATCAAGAATCCAACCGGTGACCTAGGCAATTCCACAGGAATGGGCGCCTGCGTCCTACATGAAATCATTTGGCATTAATCACAAGCGTTTTCGCGCCAAACAGGTGTCATATTCGTGTTCAGGGAGCACAATTACCATTGGAGACGGATTTCTAGCCAAATGTAAAAAGATTCAACCTCGAAAAAGTGCGCTAGTAGTGAGCGACCACTACCAGCAAGTGATTCCAGGCCCAATCTGCTCTCTGTTGCTTATCTTCAGGCAGAAGTTGCTTTAA